CCCCAAAACCCCAAAACCCCAAAACCCCAAAACCCCAAAACCCCAAAGTTTATCAAGTGGTTGAAATATTACCATTATGGCATATATTTATAATTCTCCCTCGACTCGTCCATGTAGGCCATATATTCAGCTTCTGCCAATTGTTCAATGCATCCTAAAATCATCTTCTCGCTTCTTCTGAGTTTGGCTCTCTTTCTCATCATTTTGTAAACGATGTCTTTCTGATGCATTACCTTACGCTTCTTCATCATATGGACAATCAAAGCCTTGGTCTGCTTGATATCTGCCATCTCTAGCTCTTCCTTCAGAGGTTTCACTTCTTCATGAATTTCTTGCTTGTTCTCCTTGATCTTAGGTCCAATTTTAGGGATGTAATTGATCTTCAACAGCGGATGGCTGAACTTCAAATTTAGTGTAATAATGTCTGGGTCAAGAAACAGAGGATGACTTTTATACTTCGAACAAAGAAGGTTTTTCTTTGGATTACATAGATGCTTCAATTGCTTTACCAGAACACTTCTATCCATAAATGTTAACCTCTGGAGTTCCTCAACTGTGAGTGATTCATGGGCTTCAAATTGGCATAGGATAGATGCTTGATAGCAGTTAACATTCAGCGTATATGGGTGGGGAGTGAACTTAGTCTCCATCACAATTTCTCCTCTGGTATAGATCCATTGTAACTTTCTTTGGCTATATTTTGATTTATAGAAATGTTCATAAACTTTCTTGCATAGTTCTAGTTCGGTTGGAATCACTAATCATTCATCTTGATATCTTTCTTGTGCTTTCTCTAAAATAGTAGAAGAGAGGACAACGGTCGACATATCAAATGGGAGTGCATCTTCACAAATCTCAGATTTTCAAAACTCATCTTGTAAATCCTGCGAAAGCTCAATATCGATAAGTAGCTTACTGATCCTCTTCATGCTAGTTTCTCCAAGTTGTTCAGTAAGTTTGTCGACCATCTCCCTCTCGGCATAATAGTTAGAGTAAGTCTGTGCAAGCATTCTATTATACTGGTAGTAAAAGTAGTAAGCAAGGAAGTGTTCTCTGTCATCAATAAGCTTCAAGAGGTCAATAATGTTCTCTAAATGCATGGTGATCTCCATATCGTCATACTTCTTCACTTCTTTTGTGAAGAAATTATCACAGTAACTAGCCAGCCATTCAGTCTTGTAGCAGGATCTCAATTTTTCTTCGAAGCAACTCTGCTTCGCCTTTAGGAAAAATTTAGCACCAAGTAGCTTCTCTTCAATAAATTGGTGGATCTGGAAGCGATAATTGACTAAAGCGTCTGTTAGATTGACTGAATCATTTGAATCATTATTGTCATTAAACACTTTTTCTAGATCACTGGTTATCATGAGTCTCAATTCACTAGAAAGTTCTTTGATACCAACTGAAATTTCCTGGCAAAATTGAATAATGTCTTCAATCTCTACAAACTTCTGATCAAAGATCAGCTGTCTTAAGTTAGATGCTTCTTGTCTAATCTGGGTCTTAATGAACTCATTTTTGGACACAATGAAGAGGAGCTCTGTCATAACTTCACAATGAGAACTCTTATCCAAAATGCTTTCTACAATGTATCTTTCCTTTATTTGAATTCTTCTGAACTCATGAATAAATTCTAGAAAATCTCAAGTCTTCCAAAGCTCGGCAAATTTATTTGTATAATAAAGGCGGGTTCTTGAAAGAAATGGTTTTAAGAATTCTTCTTTGTAAAGCCTCAGGTCTACTTCTCCACCCCATTTGGTGGTATTTTCATCATCGCCTATCAAAGTTATAGGATTTCTGGTGCCACAAGTAATGAATATGCTAATAACATCTCTGATCATGTCAGTTCGAACCGATTCAGACTCTCTTAGTTCGTTGATAGCATTGATGAGATTTTCCACAATAAAGCCACTGAACTTCTCAAAGATCAGGGTATTAAACAACTCCATCGACTTGACTGTGGTAGTTTTACCACGATTTAAAAACCTAATGTACATGTTATCCACATGGGCTAGGGCGTTACTCCAGAGTCTTGAGAAGGTAGAGAAGGATTTAAACGTCTCTAGAAATTTCTCAAGGATTTCTTTACTATCTCTTTGCTCCAAATAGCTAAAATGGGTCCTATAATAATCTTAGAAAAATGCACTTACTTGATAAATCCCTCTATTGCACTGCAACAATAGTTATGGAACGCTCCTGAAGCTGCTTCGTTATCATACAGGAGACTAAATAGTGATCATTCTTAAGACTTACGTATATGTGCGGGCAAATAATCCCGAATTGAACTTTTCCTTAGGTTTGAGCTCGCAAGGATTACTGTAGTCTTTTGCCATATTGACAAATTCTTCAAGACATTTCAATGAATCAGCAGTCAACTGGAGGTTATTTTCTTCTTCCATTCTAAACTATATTTAAATTTAAAATCCAAATTAAAGTGTTAATGTTAGCATGACAAATTTTAAGAGCCTCCATGCTGCTTCCTTCAAAATTTTGGGTGATTTTGCAATGTTTAATCTAATGGTTTACAGATATAGAGCCTCTTATATCGCTTATCAAAGAATTTTATTTTTCAGGTGCATATTAAGAACTCTTCGTCAGGAATGATATCATCACCTTTATTTCATATTTTCCGGTGAATTGAAGGACCAAATGTAGAGAAATGCTAAGTTTTATGTATTAGGAAGAATCATAGAGAGTTCAAAGAAAATTTTGTAAATTTAAACCCTTCTTCACCATACTTACAATCTCCAAATATTAATATATGATACACTTGAAATGATTGGGGTTTTGGGGTTTTGGGGTTTTGGGGTTTTGGGGTTTTGGGGTTTTGGGG